CACACACACGCGAACACACATGCACACATATATACGTGCATACACATGTACTCTATGGACCCAAATTCTAAGGACAGCCTATAGATTTTCGATATATATATATATATATATATATATATATATATATATATATATATATATATATGTATGTGTGTGTGTGTGTATTTGTATCAAGAGTTAATAATAGTTTTTAAACAATTCTGACACATCTTTATTGCGTCAAACATAATACTTAGTGGATGCCCGTATTTGAATAGACTCTTCGTTTTATTTTAAGCGGGATTTCATCTACTGGCCTGCTCATTCGAGAAAACTTTTCTAGAGAGGAGGGCACATTACTATATGTTTCCTCGGGTGGGCCGTATCAACAATAATTAACATTTGAAATAACACACACACACACACACACACACACACACACACACACACACACACACACACACACACACACACACACACACACATATATATATATATATATATATATATAAGTGGACTTTGAGATCAATACCCAACGGAGACAGTTTCTTTCATACTTACACACAATCATCAAGACATTTCTTATAAGTATATAACAGGCTGGGTGTTTACTTCCATCCCCACTTTTATATTTACTTATTTTTTACTGCTTTAATCCATAAATATAGCGTACCTATATATATATATATATATATATATATATATATATATATATATATATGTCCCGGCTTGAAACAATCAGACAACGAAACAGTCGGTCTGTGGATGACTATATATATATATATATATATATATATATATATAAAATATAAAGGCTCAAACACTAATATTCCATGGTCATGGTGCATCAGACCTACAAATTCAAAAATATATTTTTTTTTAATTTGTAGGCCTCATGCATTGGATCGTGATTACGATTCCAATGTAATAAATTGTGACCATGGAATATTAGTGTTTGAGCCTTTTAGATTATATTCTTACGCTGTCCTGGACATTGAGTTCTACCTGGATTCTATCCTCTTGGAAATTTATATATATATATATATTGACCATTAATATTATATATTGACTCTCTGTATACTGTCTCTCTCTCTCCTCTCTCTCTCTCTCTCTCTCTCTCTACATATATATATATATATATATATATATATATATATATATATATTTGAACAAAATATTTGAACAAAATTAACGTTATTTTACATAGCTTTAGGATCCTTTCGACCAACGCTTTTCAAAAAAGGTATTCGTTGGCGACATACAAACAATCAAGAGACATTAATAATCTTCAAGAAATCATATGGTGGTTTTCAACTGTGAAGTTTTGTTTTATTGTGTAGACGCAGCTTGATTCGACTTTCGTTGTGCAGCGGTCACTTCTAAATTTTCATGATGGTCACTCAGTTGTGGTTCTTGCAGCGTGAAATTTTGACCTTCAATCAACCGTAACGAGTATATAAAATCCTCCTTTTGTTTTCATAGGCTCAGCTGGTAGAATTTGATATACAAAGCCCCGAAAACTCTAAGATCGTATACCGAGCGAGCACAATATAGAATGGAAAAGAATGTATTCTCATACGTGGCGGCATACTCAGGATTATCCATCCAATGATGCCCAATCGACGAGTCGTGAACTGCTTGAAAATTTAAAATATGCATATGACTACTCGAACGCAAATACGCAACATGTTGCGCAATCCGCATTTCTAACCTTTGATTGGTTTGTCCTATATAAACAGCTTCACATCGGCGTTTGAATTTGAAAGTAGGACAAACGATCCTTAGTAAAGTAAGAGAATGCAGATTTTGTTTGAAAGACAATTTGCAACTTAACAGCGTAGTAGTTTGACGCAATACAAGCTGAAATTCTGTCAGACAACAGCTGACACTTCTTGCCTAGCCAAAACAACTTTAAATAAATGAGACACCGACTAGGTCCTAAAGCCACTGGTTCTTTAAAGCAATCGATTTTACCATCTATGACGCGTATGATGATATTGGTGGGATACTAGCAAGTTCACCGGGAACATAATCATTAAAGCACGATTAACTAACGTGGAAATTAGACTAATTTTGCGGACTTAGGAACAAAAGAGTCCCCACTTTTATATAAGCCAGTGAATGTGGATTTGCCGGAAATTTGGGTATAAAAATCTCCATCTCTGCGTTGAACGAGAACGTCAAGAAAGAGTAATTTTCCATCACTCTCAACCTCCATAGTAAACTGAAGGGATGGATAAAGAGAATTAAGTCCGCAAAAAAACTAAACAAAAAAACCCCCCCAAAACATTGGCATCATTGACGGAATCAAAAATTGAAAAAAGTATCATCAACGTACCTCACGTAGACGTGGGTTTTATGGACCCTGTTGAACAAAAGATTTTCTTCTTCGACATGTTTGTTCCATCTTATATTTATAGTCGATGTGAACGTATTCTTATACAAAATATATATAAATATTGAATCTATTTTTATATCAGCTGCTAAGAAAGTCGGTTCACTATGGGGAGCGAGACAATTTTTCTCTCCAGAATCTATCTTACATATCTATAAGTCTACCATTCGTCCATGCTTATAATATTGGTCCGGTTCCCCTGCTATTTTCCTTGAGCGCCTTGATAAGATCCAAAGAAGAATCTGCAATATCATTGGTTCTGAATTGGCAGCTCGGATCCAGTAACTTTCCCCACCGCTGTAAGACTGCCTCTCTATGAGTTTTCTATAAATACTTTCATGGTTAATTGTTCGGATGAGCTTTCCGCTATGGTACCTAGACGTTTTGAATTTAAGCGCAGCACTAGACTGGCGTCGAGATCTCATCAATTTACAGTTGAGATAGATATAGCCGTAAGTTCTATGCTAGCAGTTTCTTTTCTCGTACTTCTTGCTTGTGGAACTCCATTCCGGTTCCATGCTTACCAACCAACTTTAATTTGCAAAAATTTAAATGCAATCTCAATCGCTAGCTACTGTCCACGCTTAGCTTCCTGTTCATCATTAATGTTTCTGTTTCTAATTCTTCCACACCCTGTAACCCTTTTGTTTTAGTGGTATTACTGCCTTTGCTGGGGTGATTCCAATTAGCCAAAAAAAAAAAAAAAAAAAAATATTGCAAACTGAAAAATGCTAGAATGTTGCAAAAACTTAATAAAATTTAGTTCAATCTAACCCTAACCATAACCCTGCCAACCCTGGCCCTGACCTTGTTAGCTGCATTATGTGAAAGATGTTTGAAAGAAAGGTTGCTGCCAAAATATACCTTGTTGTGGATAAGAGTTAGTGTGGCTTCTACATTCGGATCTGCCCTACGATTACAAAAGTCAAGGGGTATTCTATATATATATATATATATAGATAGATAGATAGATAGAGAGAGAGAGAGAGAGATAAAGAGGGGGAGAAAGACAGAGAGAAAGAGATACAAAGAGACAGAGCAAGAGAGAAAGAGAAAGAGAGTGAGAGAGACATAACATAATTATTTGTTTGAATTCAGCAAGAGAAGTTTTCAGGTTTTCCATTGACTGTGTCAGCATTTAAAAGAGACACGTGCACAACCCTCGGGCCTGCTTTTGTTCGGGGTGCGCTATATCGATCTTTTCAGAGACGTTGCCGAGCCATTTGGTCGTAGGCTAATATCATTTGTTTTGTAACATACAAAGATGTCACGCTATGTTCTTTAGCTTTCCTTCCCAATATGTTATGAATTCACGTTTAATTATACTAGCTAGTCATGGGACAGATGAAGTATGGATGGCCAAAAGTGAAAATACATGATATTATTCACCATAGCAAAAGCATGCACACAAATTAAAAGCACTGTCATAAACGTTGTAACGGTTTATTTAATAGAGTCTGTTCCACAAAGCAGAGTTTCTCTGGAAGAAGATGTCTGTGTGACTTCTTACCAACAGAATACGAAGGAAACGAGGATGGTTCGATCCTGTATAGGCGCTATGACGGGTATTAGCTTTAAAGCTAAGAACTTGGGAAACTCATGAATTTGACGGCAAAAAAATAGTTTATATATTTCCGACATGAAAATTGTGCATACGGTTAGTCAGATAAATGCCAGACGTGATTTCGACGCATGATTCACACAGTAGAAGAATTTCACGTATTAGGTTGTCATTTTTTTCTGTGGTAGACTGGTTACCAATCAAGGTTGTAGGGCCCAGTCTACCCTGCCCTTCCACCCGTACCTGGAGGGAGAAGGAGATGGATTCATGCCTTTCCCAAGGTTATTTGTGCCTAAGTATGTAACCGGTCTATTTGTGCCTAAGAATGTAACCGGTCTAACTTGAATTCGAACTCGCCGATTTCCCATTCCAAGTCGATATCCATTACACCACATCCATTACGCCACATCCCGGGTATAGTAGAAATTTGTAATAATTAGGCTGATATTCTGAAGAAAAGTTTTGGGAAAACTCTTTTTTAATAAGAAATAGCCGAAGTTGGAGATTCCATTTCCTTTCCAAAGTCAATAAACTAAAATGAAACCCGTGAATACGTTGATATTTTGAGGACAAAGATATTGTAGTTGTAAATACAATTCAATGGCTGACTATAAATATAACTTAATGGAGCTAGGCACGAAAAACTTCATATGTCTATAAATAGTATAAAGGAAACTCTTAAAATTGATTTTTTCTGATATTTTGTTGACGATGACTTTTTTTTACATCATTTTGTTTCTTTTGCAGAAAATACCTTTTCATAGACATTTTTTCTCTTTTCGTATTCATTGGGTCAGTACTTATTTCTTCCTTTTTTTCAGCAATGAGTAGAATTTGTTCTTTTTTCTTTTTCTTTGCATATTCAATTTATTTTCTCATTCATCGCGTAACGTCTATCATTTTCGATTGAAGGAAAAAAAAAAAAAACAGAAACATGAAAAAAAAAAATATCAAAGACCCAAACGTCAAAGAAAATAATTGGGAAGTCGAAGCGATGATAACTTTTGTAAAGTACAACGGAAGAATTCAAGTTGCTGAGGACTTTCAAAATACATGTCATTTTTACTAAGAAAATGATCTGATATTGAAAAAGTGAAGAAAAACGGCAAGCAAATGATAAGGAGGTGAGTTAGAACGAAAAGAATAACAGAATAAAACAAAAAAGAAAGGAAAAGTGGAAAACGGAAAGAATAGGGAGAGAAAAAAAAAGGATATAGAAAAGATAGGAAAAAGAAGAACAAAGTGAAAATGAGATAGAGGGTGAAAGGGAAAAAGGAGAAATACAATCAAAAGGAAAAAGAGAAAGAGGATTAAATGGGAAAGGAGAAAGGGGAACCAAGGGAAAAAGAAAAAGAGGAATAAAGGCGAAAGGAGAAAGTGTGTCAAAGGGAAAAGGAGAAAATGGAATATAAGGCAAGGGACAAAGAGGAGCCAAGGGATAAAGGAGAAAGCCGAACAACGGGATAAGAAAAAAGAGGAAGAAAAAAAGCAAATATGAAGCGCGGGAAAGAAATCAAATGTAAGTAAAATAAAACAAAACGTGTTAAGGACAAGTGACATCAGAATGAAGAAAAAGGTTGAGGATTGAAGGAAAAAACAATAAAGATGAATGGAAAAGAGAGGGAAAAGGAAAGGCAAAAACAAGACGAAGAAGGATGGAAAGGAAAAATGGAGAAAATGAAAAGAACTCCCCCCCCCAAAAAAAAGTAAAGGATTAATCGAGAGAACCTTCACCCCTACTCCGCCTACTTAACCCTGGTACCACCACCACTAGCAAGTAAGAGGCTCGGGGAACACCCACCCGCCATTACCGGCTCCACCACCCATCTGAAGAGACTTTGACCGTGGAAAGCCGAGAGCATTTCACAAGAGTCCCCTAAAAATTTCACCAAATCACCATTGTAAATAAAGGCTGTCTGCTCGTCGCTCAAAAAAATGAAAGTCAAATTCAGAGAATGGAATGAAGTTGTCGTAGTAAGATACAGTGCCTTGTGCCATTTTGTTGTTTTAAATGTTGAAATATCTGAGTTAATTATATTTTACTTTATTTTATATTTTATACTTGTTTTTTTTTAAATTCTTGTTGTTCTTGTATCTGATATTTCGTGTATATTTATCTCTACATTGCTATTAATTATCAAATCGTTTAGTTAACAGTCCCCTGACCAGAAGGGATTAACATGGATTTTAATTTGCTTCATTAAATTATGTATATGGTCGGGTTTCGATCTCGGCTTGAAGTAATCGGACGTCTAGTCGCACTGAAGAGTACTCTATTACAGAGACTCCAGTAATCACGAGAGTCCAATTTGTGAGAGGCTATGCGGTGCCTTATTTTCTAACCAAACAGGGACTTAGCTCCTTCAAGAACTCGCTTACATTTATTATGAGCAGTAGCAAATAGGCACCTGTTATGAAGAGAGCAGTTACACTGGTATAACCGGAAATAGTGTTTTCTCTGTGTTATGGCGGCCGAGCAAACTGGTGTGAACCATGGAGAGGATTTCAGTTTCACCTGGTATTTCCGAGAAGGGATGAAAACGTCCATGCCAGCTTTGACCCAAGAAGAAACCTCAGTGGCGCAATTTTCATTTGGAAGGTTGAAGATCTCAGTCTAAGGGCCGTCACAAATAAAATCCCGGAATGAACCCAATCAGCAGGTTGTTAACGGAAAGAGGTTTTATGGATAGGGTTGCAAAAGAAGTGGAAAGACTATTTCGAATTCATTACTTAGTTAACTGTTAAGAAAGTCAGTTCACTGTATCGGGCGAGAAATTCTTCTCTCCTTAATTTATCTTGCATATCTCTAAGCCTACCATTCGTCCATGCTTAAAATAATGCTGCCATATATGACCCGGATAGGATTCAATGAAGAATCAGCAATATTATTGGTCCTGATCTGGCATCTCGGCTTCAGTCACTTGCCCACACCATCTTTTTTTTTTTATTATAAATACTTTCATGGTAATTGTTCAGATGAACTCTTTACTATGGTACCTAGTCTGTATGAATTTGTGCACAATACTAGATTTACGCCGGTTTCTCATCAATTTACAGTTGAGTTACCTGTTAGTAGTCGTAAGTTCTATGCTAACAGTTTCTTTTCTGGCACTTCTCGTTTGTGAAACTCTATGGTTTCTAGCCAACTTTAATGTGTAAGAATTTAAATGCAATGCCAATCGCTATCTGCTGTCCCTCCCCTGACTGCTCTTTTGCCTTTCTACTCATTACTAATGTTCCTGTTCATATTCCTCCACACTCTAACCCCTTCCATGTTAGTGTCTGTACTGTTTTGCTTGGGGTGATATCGATAAAATAGAGGAGATTAGAGGAACAACAACAAAAATAATGAAGGGTAGATAAAAATAAGACAAGAATCAAAAGAAATAATCAGTCAAAAAATAAAAATGAAAACTGGTGGAAATTGGCTGAGGAAGAAGAAAAAGCAAAGTGAGTAACAGAGAGAGAGAGAGAGAGAGAGAGAGAGAGAGAGAGAGAGAGAGAGGATAGAAAAGTTGACGGAAGAGCGGGACAGCGAGAGATGAAAAGAGAGGAGGGTTTAAAAAAGAAAGATAAATCGAAGAATAGTAGAAAAGGGGAAAGAGATGTGAAGAAATATAGTAAAGTGAAAGAGAGAGAGAGAGAGAGAGAGAGAAAGAGAGAGCGAGAAAGAAAGAAATGGAGATGAAAATAGAGTCAATATTTCTCTGATGAGGTATTGTAATTATTTACATTGTTCGGACTGTTGTCCTCATCTTTATTAACATATTCACGATGTTTCAGCCGTTGCACGTTTCGGCCTGCTTCAGGTGAATGTAATTCAAAACAACCCTTCATTTCGTCCACTGGGGTAGATTATTCTATTTCCACGTGTCATGCCTCTTCCAGATGTCTCAGTTACCTCCCTTTAACTCAGCCCTCCAAGTTTTTGTTCACCACTCCCGTAGTCAGGTATTGAACTCACAACTTTTTGAGTCAATCGCTGGATCCAACCAACGCTTTTATCCACTGGGCCATGTGTCCTTGAGGAATTCGAAAGTTCAATCAATATGAAAATAGAGGAGAATCTGGAATAGCGGGAGGTCGATATTAGAGCAAGAGGAAACACAAAAAAATGATAGGAAACCAAAATAGAAAAAGAAGCAATTTAGGAGACAAAGAGAAGGAAAAGGTGAATAAAAGAGAGGCAGGATGAAATAGGCAAAGAAGGTGAAGGAGAAAAAGAAAACAAAACAGGTAAAGATAGAGAACGATAGAAAAAAAGAAGGAAAAGAAAAAGAGAAACAGTAGAAAATATGAAAATGAAAAAGAACAGCAAAAGCCAAACTGTAAATCGGTCAAAATCTTATTTCTGGTGAGGTAATCGTCTACCTTTTTGTTGATAGCAAACTCAAAGATTTGGCCAACGACACCTATGGAGTCTGATGGGTCAATACTGCGACGGGAAGAACGCTCGCCAACTTTCTTGAAAAAAATAACAAATAGCTGACAAGTTCCACAGAATTCGAAAACATTTCTCTTTTAGACAGCGGTTATACAACTTTGCCAAGAATGGAGATAATTCAGTGTTGATTTTCTTAAGCACAACAGCAGGGATTTATCTTGAACAGTTGCTTTTATAGAATCACGGTTTTCAGTGAGTCTAGAAACTTCACGAGCCGATATGTTAAGGTCACAAATTGCGTGCTCCGTCAGAGAAGGGATAGATGATAATTCTGGTTGTATAGTGTGGAGTTTGAATAAAATTTAATTTCCAAGGGCTTGGTCGTGTACGATGAAGATGGAATAACCTCAAGACCATCAATAATATTAGGCGCAAATGATTTGCCTCTGAAAGTATCTTGGGAGTGATCCTCCAGAACTCATGAGAATCAAGTTGTTCGTTGTCAATTTTAACTTGGACTGATTGTGCACGGCTGATCTTAGCATTCTCCAGAACTTGTTTACCAATGGCTGTGGGTCGTTCTGGGTGGGGCATGTGTCTCGTTACATCGTTTACGCTAATAAATATGGAAGTAATGGTCACGGTGAGTCATGGCCGAAGCAGATATAGGTGTGTACCAAGGCTTTAACTGTCCGGCATCTGCTGATACTTCTTCAATGGAATGAAATGCTCAATACCTGATAGGAAAAATGGTGGCTATTCTGGTCGCTTTATTTTTTTAACAAAGTTGAGAGAGAGAGAGAGAAAGAGAGATAGAAAGAGAGTTGTGATTTGTATGTATGCATGTGTATCTATTTTGCGTATCACACGTTTTTTTTTTGTTTTTCATGTGTTTCTTTATATGTAGTTGGATCTATGACTGTCTTGCCGATGTATACAAGGTTTATAATTCCAAATCAACATCTTTTGTATTATTAAATAAAAAATCTGAGTAAGATAACGTATGGATAATGAATTACGTAATTATGATTACTTCAAATCCTCCTAATAATTTCTATCTCACACATACACACGTTTTTATATATATATATATATATATATATATATATATATATATATATATATGTAGTGAATAATAAAATCCCAAATTACCTTAAATGGGAAATAGGCTTATTTTAACCAACGAAAACTTCGTCAGTCTTATTCAAATCCAGTATAGACTGAGTTTGTCGGAATCATATCAGTAGGATCCACTTGGATTATATACCAACGATTTATTACCTTTACTTTCTCTCTCTCTCTCTCTCTCTCTCTCTCTCTCTGTATATATATATATATATATATATATATATATATATATATATATATAGATATATTATGAAATGGACAATGTCCAAACAATTATTTCAAGACATTTATATATATTTATAAAAAGAATGTGGAAACATAAAAAATGTCTTTATATATATATATATATATATATATATATATATATATATATATGCTGTGACCAAGTAAATGGTTAAGCAATACTAGAAAACAGTTTTGCAGATATACCGTACATTAAACAGTAAGTACACTAGAAGAGAGTGACACGACGAGTGAGAGTGTATCGTATGAACCAGCGCTCCATCCATTCACTATTCACTGTTCCCCGAACCTTCTCTCCTACTAAACTTATAGTAGGCGGAAGAGCCTAACATATCTTTAGAGGTTGAACTTCACAACAATATATATATATATATATATATATATATATATATATATATATATATAATTTATTCAAAATTATAATATAAATGGCATTCAACACCATCACTTGATAAGACACCAGAAGTGTTGAAACAAAATGGCTATTTTTGTAGTGATTTTATAAATTTTCGAATAAATTATATTTGCTCTAATCTGTATTGAACATTCTTTTAAGAATAGTATTTTTGGTTATTGGAATTTATTCCATATACACCAATCCTATACTTGGGTGTATATATATATATATATATATATATATATTAAGAAATGGACAAGGTCCGACAATTTATTTATTAAAGACATATTTTATGTTTAACGTTGTTATTTTATAGATACAAGTATTTAAGCAAATGCTCTGTTTATGATAAACAGTATTAAATAACATTTACCGGCCTGAATGTCCGAGAAATTTTCATTATAGAAAATATTCGTTCTTTGACAGGATTCGAACCTGCATCCTATACGGAACCGTCATATACGCTGACGTGCCTTACCGCTTAGGCTACAAAAAGAAGCGTTCGGTAGACAAGGTCGAATTTACTGCTTATAAACTCCAATTTTCCATGAATCTCGTACATTCATAACTGCTCTGGCGTATCGAATGTAAACAAATGACGTCATAACGCTTCTTTGTAGCCTAAGCGGTAAGGCACGTCAGCGTATATGTCGGTTCCGTATAGGATGCAGGTTCGAATCCTGTCAAAGAACGAATATTTTCTATGAAAATTTCTCGGACATTCAGGCTGGTAAATGTTATTTAATACTGTTTATCATAAACAGAGCATTTGCTTAAATGCTTGTATCTATAAAATAACAACGTTAAACATAAAATATGTCTTTAATAAATATATATATTTCAATGAAAAGGTGCAATTATAATTTATAAATTCGTGAATCATTCATACAAAAAACATATATATATATATGCTCAATCATTAAATTTAGGCAAATAGTGTTTCTGGCCTCCCTAACAATAAGTTAATGTCAAGTTTCGTCAAATTAATGTAAAATTTACTATATTAGATAAATATTTGTCGCTTGAGAAACGTAGCGATAAAGAAACATAAAATATTACCGGAGCTAAATACACCTGATGTAGGCTGAAGATAACAGCAGCTGAAATACCAAGAACGAAATAATAATAGCTAGGCTGTAGTGCAAATAATTAGGCTAATATTCTTCATATACTTACGTGCTTGCGTGTGAGAGCGTTGAGTTTTAGCAAGAATATCAGAATTGTTAATAAGGCAAACTAAAGCTGCCTATGGACCGTTAGCAATTTTCAAATTATCCTTCATTTTAGCGTATTATCAAATTGTCAAATTTCTAAAATTGAAATACTCCCTGGGGTATGTCAGTTCCAACTGATGGCTTGCTACATGTAGGATTATCTAATCAAATACTAATATATGAGATAAAATTACGGTTGGTTTCTTGTTTTCATTAGACAATCCTCCATTAGTAATAAAAAGAAGGAAAGCAAGCAAAAAGTAGAAACATAGATCGTATGATTTACGCATTCAGGAAAGGGACAGGAAGTAGTAATTTTGACAGACGCCTGACTTTGTGAGAAATACCGTTTGTGAAGCAGTCGGCAAAGAGGAGGCAGAAATGCAGTTTCTTTCAATAAACATGCTGGGATTAGATACTTACTGAAGTTATCCTTATTTATGATCATATTCTGCGAATATCTGCGTAGCAACTACAATATATATATATATATATATATATATATATATATATATATATATATATATATATATATAGTGGAAACTGAGGTCAACAATAAACAGGTGACAGTTTCATGCTTGATCGCAATCTTCAGACGTGCTGGGCATTGGATGAAGATAGCGATCACATGGAACAAATATATATATATATATATATATATATATATATATATATATATATACACATATATATATATAACACTAATAAACTTATAAATGAAAGGCGGTATACTCGTCCGGCAAAACCTTAGGTGTTTTAGCCAGTCCGCCCTGACGATCAGCGTAGGTGATACCTAGATAGGTTAGTCTAGCTCTTTAGGTTTTTATATATCTATATATATATATATATATATATATATATATATATATATATATATATATATATATATATATACACACATACATAGCACAAAAATATATATACAGACATACACACACATCTATACACATACATCTATCTATCTTCCTATCTGTCTATCTATATATTTATTTATCGTATGCAGTGTTACATTAAAACATGCACATATCCACTACAAATTTGTACATTTTCTGTTTCAACGTCAAAAAAAGGAAAACCGTTTTTAACGTCTCATCAGGTGGGGAATCATGGCGTTACTAAAAACTTTTATTCAGAAATAGTTATCGAACCAAATATCCCCACTTCCGTTCCTAGGAAATTTTCATAAAATCTCTTCTAGAATTTACATGTAGAGATGGAAGGGAATCTAATGCATTAAGTTAATTTAACACCGCATGAGATAAATAAATAGTTACGGCTCTACTTTGTGTATTGAGCACTGTTTTTAAATTAATGTTCTTAACGTTGTAATCTTACTGTTCGCTTTCCTACACTTTGATATCTGTCTATCTATCTATCTATCTATCTATCTATCTATCTATCTACATGCATATATAGGATATTTAGCATTTTAAGAGACGTATAGAATTCCTTAAAAACAATATTTTAATCATATTGTTGTGTAGTTTAGTGATTTATCATGAAAAGACTACGACTGATCACCTGTTCTCTGCATATATATATATATATATATATATATATATATATATATATATATATATATATATATATATATATAATAGTAGTAATAATCTTATACGTATAAGAAATTATACTCGTCAGGAAAACCTTCGGTGTCTTGATTTGCGAATAATCAAACCAATACCAAAGGGGGAAAAAGGTATAAAAAAAAGAAAGAACCAAGGACATGTACGTTTTTTTTTATTATTTTTTTGGTCACGTTGTTATGATTTTATGTTTATAGGATATAAATATTCCGTCCTTTCGTTACCTTTTTAGCCAGGCTTCCCTGACGATCTACTTAGATGAAACCTTGTTAGGTTTGTCTGGCTCTATAGGTTTAAAAATATATATATATATATATATATATATATATATATATATATATATATATTTAGAGAGGAAGGGAAAGATAGGAATGATTTTAAAATTATTTTTATTACAATACTTAATAGTGATGAAGAGGAGTAAGGACCAGACATTGACCTATTTAATAGGTTATCTCAGGAAACGATATCCAGAGAAGAAAAAAGAGAAGTAAAGATGTAAGAGATCAGAAGTGGAATGAGGGGTGTAAGGAAAGAAAGGGGAATAGAAAGTTGGAGAGGAAAGGAATAATAAAAGAATTAATATATCTGGGCATATTACGGCTAATTTGGAAAAAAACTCAGATTTATATATTTTGCCGGTAACGTTTGACAGTAATTTAAACGTTTTAATTTTTCAACAAATTAAAATAATTAATTCTCATATATATATATATATATATATATATATATATATATATATATATAAAAATTGAAAGAACAGTAAGATATATAATCCGGTGTTCTTATAGGTATTTTTAGTTTTACAAAATAGTGCTCGATGTAAATTTACAGAGCATTAATATTTTAAATTAATTGATTTAAAATATGTTTTTTTCCGCTACACAGTTCTAACCATGTTTCAAAAATGGAAGCTAAAAGCCACGAATTTAATTTTTCAATTAAATTAAAGACATTAGTTCCATTTCATCCTCAAGCGAATTTTGGACTCCAAAATTCGCTTGAGGATGAAATATATCTGAGAATTATTTTAAGACATTTATATATATTTATCTATAAAAAAGAATGTATAAACATAAAAATGTCTTAATATATATATATATATGAAAAAATATAGTCTTAAGATGTGCTATATTTATGGGATAAAGTGCTCAATATCAGAGATAGAGCGCGTGTAAATATAAAAGTGAACATAGAAATCAACACTTAGAGGCGACAGTCTGTTTCATGCTAGATGCAATCGTCAGGCCGTTATATATATATATATATATATATATATATATATAATTCTCTGATATATATACATACATACATACACACACACACACACACACACATATATATATATATATATATATATATATATATATATATATAAATAGTTTTATAAATAAAATATAGTTTTATGGTATGCTATATTTATAGATTCAAGTACTCAATATCAGAGATTGAAAGTATGTGTGTGTGTATATATATATATATATATATATATATATATATATATATATATGTGTGTGTGTGTGTGTGTGTACTTTTATCTGAATAGAATAAAGCTGTAGAGCCAAATATATATATATATATATATATATATTAATCAGCTAATGGATTTAATTATATTAATATATACAGTAATTTAGTCACCTTTTGAAAAAATAATGAAAAACAAGAAAAAAAGCTAACACTTACCAATATCAACTATGAACCCGGCCACAATGTGCTGGCTGTATTAAGAAAATAAAATGCACGTCACTATCAATACAAATATATAAAAATTATAAAAATCTACATATTATTATAGTCAAAAATAAGGATAAGAATAATAACTGATAACGTCTAATAGAATAGCCGAAATCGCTCGGATATGTTGAAAATTTGAACAGTTTTACACCACATTATTGTCCAGAAAATAAAATACTTGTACGAATGAAGAAAATACTGATTAAAAAGTTTAATCGCAGTCCAATGCCAATCGTCGTTAATGAAACATCTATAAAAGAGGGAATTCTACCTAAATATACAATATATATATATATATATATATATATATATATATATATGATTGTGTGTGTGTATTTTCGCGAGCGCGAGCAAGTAATCTGATAGAATTATTAAATAAAGAATAAGTAAGGAAGTCGTGATAAAGTTAATATTTTTCACTATTTATTTTAGCTTCAGCAGAATCAGAAAATGAAATAATGCAAAGTTATGTTTCAGTCATTAAATTCTATTTCGTTTTGCATCCGTTAGATGTGTAGACGACAGCTTTATACCTTATAGCATTTGTGCTTCGTTTTATTCTTAATGTATGTCAATGTATTTATATGTGTTGTAAAATCTCGGCTTATTAATCTATTTTATTTGGATTGTATTATAAAATTGACAAATGTTCATATTACCTAGAATTATTCATTCCCCGCGAGCATTCGTTTCAATATATAGAAATTTACAATAGGGCGTTTAAATATATAGAAATTTACGATAGGGCGTTTAAGTATATAGAAATTTACGATAGGGCTTATATACGCAAGAAAAAGGGACAGGTAATATATATGTGTGTGTGTGTGTGTGTGAGACTTGACTGAGCAAGACAATTTTTTAGTAATACTATTGCTATTAAACCGTCGATGTGGGCAAAATTTTTTATAGTTATACTAATATAGGAAGAGTTTCAGTTTATACTGTGTTTTTAAAAAATATCTATATCACACTATAATGCAATGAGATACATGTAATTGCATACTTATATATATATATATATATATATATATATATATATATATATATATATATATAAAATATTGAGAAAGAAGAGTAAGATTTATAATCCGGTGTTCTTATTAACTATTTTTATTTTTAAAAACAGTGCTCCATCCAATTCTTTAGAGCATAAACATTATAATATTTTTAAATTAGTAAATTTATAATATCTCTCTCTCTCTCTCTCTCTCTCTCTCTCTATATATATATATATATATATATATATATATATATATGTGTGTGTGTGTGTGTGTGAAAATATATGGAAAATAGGAAAGGACTCGTTAGGTAAATAATCCGAAGTTCTTTAGTATTTTTGTTTTTATTTCTAAAAAATAGTGCTCGATACAAAATTAAAGCCTAAATTATAATTAATATAATGCTTATAAAGACACGTAAATTTCAAGATTAGTTATTTCGCTTGAAGATGAAACAGAGCTTGGTAATTTAATTCAATTTTATTCTAATAATTATATTGAAATTTTCAGCTCTTGTTTCTGAAACATGAGAACTCTTTTGTAGTGGATGAATGATATTTTTAAATAAATGATTACATATATACATACATACATACATACATACACACACACACACACACACACACACACACACACACACACACACACACACACACACACTATATGTATATATATATATATATATATATATATATATATATATATATATATATATCATCAACTTTAGGTGTAAAACAAGCTAACTCTATGGACTACATAAATTACACAAAAATAAATTAAGCAATGCGACAAATGTATGAATATACCCACACCAACAGACTTCAAATTAAAGCCTATTCTAGCAGACCCAATTTGCGAGACACACCGCCTAAACAATTTCTTAGACATCTTATTGAAGCCTCTCATCAAACAAATTCGCAGATCCATACGAGATGATCTAGATTTTCTTAATCATCTACCAAACAAAGTAAACAGGAACACTCACATAGTCTCATTGGATATTGTAAACCTATGTAGCAACATCCTACATGACTACGGAATCGAGGCTATTAAATACTAGCTATCTTTTGTGAGCTACCATACTGTATCATTGGATATTTCATCGTTAAAATCCTTGAATTTATCTT